AAATTATGTTTAATCGATTCTTAACGTTTATATCATCGTATTATACGCTAATATTAATTTAAGGTTTTAAATCGTGATTCCGATGGATATTATTTGAAATTTACCATTACTTCCCATATTTTGGTATTTTTCAAATACCAACAGACTTCTTTTAATTCAATAGAATTGGCCTATTATGAAACATACCGGTAATATAACATTGTTTCGTGTTTTATTGTTAGTATTTTTTCGATATTTTAACTTTAAAATTATGTAATCAATTAAAAGCGTACAATATTACATTTAAAAATGCTCATAACTTGCTTTATAAAACAAAATATCGTTCCTTTCTATTTCGATAAGTAATCCACTCTAAAATTAAATTAAAACATAGATACCATGACGAAACTAAATGTGGACTGCTGTATGTAAATTTGACATGTAAATATACGCACTATTGTAAGATGGAGGCAATAAAAACGGAAAGACATCCTTTATTGACCACCTATATTTTTTATTTTTTTATTTTTTTAAATTTATAAATCCAATGTTATTATACATAAAAATAAGTATTATATAAAAAGCAAAGAGATTATCTACCTTCTGAAAGTAAAGCTTGTGTTGAAGGTAGAGAGCGACAGTTTACTTACAAATAATAAAAATACAATATTTTTTACAATAATAATCTATAAAACAATTAAAGTGTACAAAATAATTGCTTGTAAACATTTATATCAATATCCCAATTACAATAATAACCAATTATTAATAGTTTTATAAAATTTTTATGTTTATCGGTTATTTTCTTTTTAATAGTAACAGGCATATAATTAAAATAAAAAGGATCCAGGTAGTCCACGAATTTTTGACCAAAAGATTTTTTTAAATAGATCACACCGTATGTTAAATATTTCCTTTTTTTTACACCACAAAATTCGTTTTGAGGACTATCAGATGTTTAGTCTTGTAGTCTTAATAAGCAATTAATAACGGTGTAACGACATTAAAATAACTAATAATGCAATCTTGGGCGCATTTAATAACATTATAATGTTATGTGCTTTCACTAAATGAATATGTATACGGTATACCTAATACCATTTAATACATAATGTATTTTAGTATATTATATTTTATTTTTTTAAAGTTTGATAACGCGGTGCGTAAAACGGTATTCAGCAGTTGTGTATTCGACCTTTGTCCTTGACGAAAGTTACTGAATGCGTTAACGTTACCGTTCTTGGAAAAGAAAATACTAATCAACATTGACCGTGGTTTTAGCAGGGATCTCTAAAAACGGAAAACGAATCAGCAAATGGGTTTGCAGAATTGCAGTATTGGTCTCGTTGCTACTGACAACTATTATTTTTTTCAATACTCGTTTTAATATACTTACACAAAATTTTCTTTTTCGGGTCAGCTAAGTGTACGGTGTTCGCGTAAGTTTTTCTTTAAGAACTGAACAAAAACAGTTTGTCACATAATTTATTGGTATTATTATGGCATATTAACGAAGTTATTTAAGTGCATATATCTGCTATACAATACATCAATCTTACTACTATAATAATTATAAATATCATTTTAAACCAATTACTTTTATCATTTCTATTCTCTTTTCATCCACACACGTTAAATGTTGAGAAATAAAAAAATATTGAAATTGTCGGACTGTACTGCGTATAATACCATTAGGCAGTAGGCACTAGGCACCCCACCCCTAAGTAAGTACACCTATAGATACAGTTCGACCAATTTTAATTTATATTTATTATGCTGGTGAAATTTAAAAATTACTATGCCTGTTTCTTATATAAGTACCAATAGTTCAATACTAAAAGAGCAAAAATATTAAATTCTTCTTCAATTTGTAATTTATAGGTACTACAAAATATATGCATTATGCATATCATATTTTAATATTCTTATGTCTATGGATGTGTTCTTACAATTTTATGACTAATTTCATTTTTGAAAGTACGATTTAAAATTGAAATCAATTTATATAATGATTTGATAATATTATACTGGCAAGTGAATTCAGACAATATAATGAAACCCTTTTAATGTTTTATGATTATGTGTAGATAATAAATATTATATAATATAATGATGATAATTAATAACTGTTTTGTAATAAGAAATTCGAATGGTTTTGTATTAAATATTATTTAACATTGGTAAATTTCAATAGTAGCAAATAAAATTAAAGGTCATACTAGCCACAAATGTGTAAATTATGAATTAACGATAATAAATTATACAGATAAATTTTGGCAAGTATGATTGATTTCGTTTTACAAAAACTTAATTTTTGTAACCATAAGTTCAAATGTTTATTTACATTTTTAAGCATATTTTCTAAAATAATTTTTTTTTTTTAATAAATATTTGAAGGTACATCGTATTATCGTACATAAGTTAAATTATAATTTATAAATCAAGCAATTTAAATATGAAAAGGAAAAACCACTTCGTTTGTATAATAGTTAAAATTGTAAGTAAATGTAAATTATTATAAGGTAGTCAATTTTAGATTGAGTTACCTTATCCTTAATTTGGTTTAGTTGTATTTTTAATGCTTGACAGTAAAAAAACAAAATTTATTTATACAATAAAAAAAACTACTGTGCTTGTGTGTAATTTTAACTTTTAGCTATAATTAGTGCTTTTAGTATTCACAATGATATTAACTAAATGGAGATAATTAATTAGTTTAATGACTATAATAATTTAAACACACACATATATATGTATGTAATAAACCTAACTAATTTTATGTTTATCCTTGGAGTAATTAATAATACGGTGTGTTATTTGTACTTTAATTTGTGCGATATACATAAATAATATAAATAATAATAATAATAATAATAATAGGTAATATACTAATAACAAACGAATGCTCAATAACCTACCTTGTTTACTATAATATATTTATATTTTTACTTAGGTAGTACTTGTTCTACTTGCCTAGGTAAAAAATTTATATTTAATAGATACAAAATTAACATTTTATTTTTTTGTAAATGTATTGGCACAAAAAATAACTAATTGACAAGGACATTTTTTATTTTATGTATTGATATACCAAACTCGTCAAAATTCCTTGATGCGTTTTTACAATATTTATATTATATGGGTGCAATTTTATAGGTTATATTATTATATTATAAAATATGCATTACAGTATATTAAAGTGTAGTTAATGAGTGGATTTTATTACAATTTACAATAGTTTCCTTATTACAAACGTCATTCAAACAAATTAATATGTGAATCTGAATGTTTTGAAACGACAGCGCGTTCAAACCTATTATAAATGTACTATACCGCAATTTTGACGGAGGAAAGCGTTGATACGTACAATACCAGTGTAAATGTACTGGTGCATGTGTCGAGAAACGGGGCGGTGGCGGAAACCCTGTGGTGGCGGCCTGTTGCGTTCGGTGGTGTACAACTACTGGTGAGTACAGTATCGTGGTAACCCTATTTTGTTGTCTGCACCTATATATATAATATATATATGTAAACACGTGAGTTGTGAGGAGACTCTTTTATGTGGGGGGAGGTTAAAACAAAAGGGAGACAACAAGTGGGTCAAATCGTTTAAGCCAAAACCGCCGCCACCCTTCCTAACCTAACGTTCTAACCTAACCATGTATATATAGCCAATAATAATATGTATATTATTTAAACGACCCTCGTTTTGTTTTTCAACCCGTTCTTGTTATTTCTCATCTCGATGACGTGATTTGAATGTGATTTGTCTTTGTGTAGTAATATAGTAATATCCCATACCTATTATATACGTGTGACATGTGCTCACAAAATCAACGTATTTTATTATTAAAAAAAAAAAAACAGTATCTAAAAAGTAGACTCATACGTGTAAGTTATACAGTATAGGTACAAGTGTGCAACGATAACATTTTGTTTACAGTACACAAAGTTTCAATTCTTCATATGATATTTTACAATAGTAACAAAATACTGACTAGGCGTAAAATAAAATCGGTCTAGTATAGGTAAGTCCGCAGTGATTTTTAAAGGTTCAAATGTGTAATAGCGTTTTATTTTATAAACATAACAACAATAGTAATATAATATTATAGGTATATGTTTATATGCAAGATGTGTAAATTGTCCATAATAATCGGTAAATTTTATTTAACTACCTTCTGTAAAATAACTGATATAAAGTCAACGCAACTCGCAAGCAGACAAGTAAATTAAGTTATATCAAACAATTTAAATAATATTATTCTACATTTACCCATCTTATTGGATATTGATTAATCGACACGCTTTTCGTATTTAAGTCAGATCCAGTTTAACGAGAATATAATATACATTAGGTATCCATAATATATAAACTATATATTATATTCAATTTAATGCGTATTCCTCATCCGTCGCCCATTGCCACTGTGTCACGACATGTTTAATTTTTTTTTCTTTTTCACAACTCTATTTTACAACAATTTGCATTCACAATGTGCATTAATATTGAAATGCCGACAAAGAGACGAAACAAATTTAACATACCGTGTACATACCTGAAAGATAACTTTTGAGGTACGTAGGTATACGTTGCTATATATTTAAATATAATCAGAGACATTGCATTATGCATCTTTTTATTTATTCGTTCCAGTCGACAATATTTTAATTAAACTTATTATTCATCGAGGAATTCTCGAACCCTGCCAATTCTCCCTGCTGATGTACATAATATATTATAATATGCACACGTAAATGTTTCCGACTTGTTTGCGATAAAATAATTATCTGTCACCTTGTGGTGGCATTTGTAAATTGTGACATCGGCAAAGCCATACTTTTCCAATTATTATTCCTAACAGTTATAAAAAAAATATTCCATTTCTACTCTCTATTATATGCACTACCACTGATTATGATAATAATTATTATCTATGTAAAAATACATATATATATAATATATATATATAAATACACCGTGTAATTGATTTTAATGTTTGACTTTTGATGTTTTGCAGATCATTACTCAAGGACGATGATGTCGTCGATAAACAACAGAATAACGGGACAAAAGCATCATGTGAGTGTGTATATAAAATATGTTTACATTATCCTACTTATTACTGTAACTTATGCATCAGACAATATAATATAATGATATAATAATTATAGTATTTTTTTCTGAATTAAATTCTGTACATTATTATTGTGCTCGACGCGTAAAACAATAATACAACCGGTTTATTGTGAACCGAAACGATCGCAGTCCGACGGCGAATTGTATAGACTCTACTTAGCACACAGCTGTTGCACAACTGCATGACAACACAGTATTCAAGGCGTTTTCCTTTTAATTTAATTCGGTACGCTTTGCAGACTAATAATAAAAACGTTTAAATATCGTAGGCATATACCTATACTGTATTAATGTGCTTCGCTTGTACACAATTTTTACAAAATCAGACCCAATTTATTTTCACAACATTATTCGTGATGAACGATAATGAGTTTTCTTTTTATCGTAACATACATTATTATTGGTTTACGAAGTTCGTGCTTAATAATTACGAAATATGTTTATGAATTATATACATGTTTTGTATTTCGAGCACACAATTATTTCCCTCATGACGAGTGAAAGAAACAAAACACTTAGTTATTGTCGTTCAAGCAACTACCCATAGGATTATAATATTGTATATACGTGCGTATAGTTATAATATATTGATGAGTAAACTTTTTAAAAACTGTTCTCATTATTTTTTACCCTAATTGAAATCGAAGAAAAAACACTCGGTTTTTTTCTCCCGTGCGACTCGTTTATTTTTGTATTCCACCCCAATTGGTATCATTTTTTTCTCAGTTTCGTAGAATTTGTCACCGGCAGACAAATGAGCCCTCCACTAATCCACGTATGTCATATGTGTGAGTGTAACTGAGGAATAATAACGACTGTCCACATGGACTATATAGAACATTATATAAACTATATATACATACGAATGATTTTCCCGGGCCGTCGAAACAAACGATGCAGGTTCACAAAACTATCATCGTCGTTGTTTCTCATTAATGAACCACGAAACTAATGCACTGGGGCGACAGTGTAGGCGAGAGAACGTCCTAGCTAGAAGGGTAGGTAGAGGTGGGATGGACTTCCGGCCAGTTTTTGTACGTCACCTAAAAATAAACCGTCGTGCACCTTTTTTTATAATTTTTTTTATTAACATCTCTGCCACTTTTGTCCATATTATAATTTGTTTTTTAATTTGTCACATTTCGTTATTATCATTATCGTTATTTTTTTTCTGTATCGTCGCACATATCATTTTTTTTTGTTTTTTTCATACATAAAACCTAAAATATACGGTTGCTGGACCGGAGCCACAGAGCGGCGGCAAGACGGTTATTTTCCACCCACGACTTAACGACGGCGTCCGCGGTGGTAGGGAAAAAAAACAATCGCGGTCGCGAAATAAAGAGAGGAAGTGGCCCGCCGCGGAGCCGTACACCAAGCCGAGCTATAGGAGAGAATAATAACGTAAAAAATTAGAAACGAAAAAAACGCGTATTATTTTTGGCCGCTACAAAGGAAACGAGTCATGGTGCGTATGATACCGCCACCGCCACACAATCCCTTCGCCACCTCCTGCACGGTCATCAACACTGTGTTATACCCGTCGGCGCGCGTCGAGTTCTTCTCCCATTCAATCGGAGCGCGCTCACACTGTATACACACACGCACACACATACACACACGCACACACTCATACACTTCTTAGTGCACGTCTTCCGTCGTCCATTCATAAAAGCATATTATATGATATTATATAAATATTATATTATTATACGCGTGTAACGAATATTATATGTATATATATATTATATACAACACACACTCGCGCGCACGCATCGTATCATCGCTGTCGCATTTCCGTTGACAAAACAACACAAAAAAAAAAAAAAAATAGAAAAAAATTTCTTCACGCGTTATTATAATAATACGTTCATCCCCTCTCTTCGGTTCTGCACAGCGTTCGAGCTGCAGTATCACCGCACTCGTTTGCTATGTATCATTAATGGTCCGTGAATACAAAGCGTTCCGCGCTCGCCCTCTTATTAATTAAGAACGCGCGCACAGTGTATAATATAAAGTGCGGCGGTGTATTCGTCGTGTATGATATACGCGTATACCGACATTCTATTCGTTCTTCTTGTACATGCGATGGCTCAGAGGAGAGAAACGGAACAAAAAAACGCAGCGCCAACAGCTCTCTGCTATAGGTAGATTTTATAATATACAATACATACCAATAAATCTATATATATATATGTGTGTGTTATATGTATGAACACGAGAATGTGTGTGTGCGAGTGTGAGTGTATGAGCGAATGTGAGTGTGTGTAGGTACATACCATCAAACCGTTTGATTTATTTCTCTATTTGTTTATTTATTTATATATCTACATGTATATTTTGTTCGCAAAACCGGATGTTGTCTCTGCATAAGGTATTCCGCGTGTACTTCTTCACTGCAGAGTAGGTTTTCACACAGACGCGGCCGCAATAATATAAGTTATAACGTATTATAAGTATATAATATTATTATTATTATTATTATTATTATTATATCCATTCGTAAATTATACATTATGAATTATGATATGCCGTAGGTTTATGAAAGCTGGATTTGATTTTTTTTTTTTAATAATTGATCACATTAAAAATAGATGTAAAGTTAATAGTTATGTTTATAATAACGTTTTTAGATTCGGGCCAATGATAATTAAATAGGGGTATCTATTAAAATGTGTGACGGAGAGAATATTTATTACTAAACTGGCATCTGCGACGCACGTAATATCCAACTCTAAGAGTGATTTGTGGTAGCAAATCGGATATACCTAGATGGTGGGCAAATCAAGATGATTTCCAATATTTTTGAATATAAAAAAAAAAAATTAAGAAAACCGGAAATTTTTTTTCATCAAAAGTTGTTGACATCTATTTTGATTTTTGTTATAAATCAAACTACCCTTGAAGTAGAGTGTAGGGACTTGATTTATTATATATTTTTTATTATATTAGAATTTTCAAGGCTTAAATTTCAAAATATTTTGATTTTATGGAATATTTATAGAAATTTGAAATTTTTCAAGGTTTAACTAATTTAACTAATCAAAAAATAACCAATAAATATTATAAAGTTTTTGCCTGGTGGTACGTATATAGTTTATGGTTATGAATAAGAGGCGGTAACTATAGTAAGTTAGTAATGCTGAGTCTTTGTTTACCCTCATGACAGCAGATAATTGTTTATAACTTTTAATATTATTACTTATTAGGTAATGTACCTACCTATAATAATAGTTTATTATTTGAATATTAGTCATGTTATTTAATTATTATTCACTGTTGTAAGATTATAAATATATAAACTAAAAACAATTTTATATACTTATTACTTATACTAATATAATTTTATTATAGCTTATGGTCAAGTAACAACTCTAAATATTTTTTTTTTTCAATTACATAAATTAAGAATACCTATAATTAATCTTTTTTTTTAAAGTTCGAGTTAAATAATATATGTACATTGTATAATACAGTAATATACGTATACTTATTATAATATATGAAATGGAATTGAAAATGTCTCAACTTAACTTTAAGAATACTTATTTTAAAAAATTATTCGCGGATAACAGTTTTAAATATTATGTAACCAATTCTTTGTCTTTTTTTAACACAAGTAGTCTACGCTTATTAGTTAGGTTATTACGATACTTACTAGTAATCACTAATCATGTATAATTTCTTCTATAATATCTATTCACATCAGATTTTTCAACTTTTATGCATGGGTACCGGGTACCTAACTATACAATAATAAATTAAATGTCAGGCGCAGCCACACGACTGCCTGTATATGTTTAATATCATAAAAATTTTCATTCTCGGTTATATATATACATCTAATACCTAGAAATTTCTTTACTTGGAAACATTATAGGTGTCACCTACGTCAATAATAGGTTATAGCTAATAACAAAATCACACATACACACTACTCGCGGACTTGGTAGTTGGTACACATAATATAAAATTTATTGTCAGTACCTAGGTATATACCTATACAATATTAATGACATTATATTAGCGTAAAAACATTTTCGTAATTAGATTATGTGCGAGTGACAAGTTACAATTTGTTTGGGACGTTGTGGATGGCGTATGAGAGATCAGAAATGGCTCGAGCGACAAAAGCTGATAAATGTGATGAATATATATATACGTATTATTTATACAAACATTATTATGTTGAAAACACAGCACAGGATGAATGGTTAGAAAAACAACGCAATTTGTTTACTGTACCCAAGCAAAAGTTTTTAATTACGTTATACTGAAAAAGACGGTATAGCAGCAGCGGCGGATGAAATTGGGTCCTTTTTGCTTTTATCTTTATAACCCTCTGTACACTTCACCGCTTCTCAGCTTGCTTCTCGCTCTTTCTGCGTTTCTTACTCTCGTCACATTGTTTATGGTCGGTTCGTTGAACAAGGAAAGGAGGTTTTGAAAATCTACTTGAGCCATAAAGTATCTTGAGAAATCGCGTTACGAATTTAATCGATAACAACTATATATATGTTTCAAATTAAACCCGACGGAATTATACATGTCGATATAATAATTAACACCATGTACCTATCTGATTTTTTTGATCCCATTTGAATTCGCAATATTTTCAGATAATTATATTTTAAAATGACATTCGAAACTCAATTAATATGTAAAACAGAAAGGAAGTAATGCTTATTAAAACAACCCCGAGAAAATAAGTTAATCATGAATTCATTTATTTCTTATTATCTGCAAATATCACGAACGATTAATTAAGTAATGTAAAGCGAGATAAATATTATGACGATACGAATTAAATTAAAAATCAGGAAATATAACAAGATGTAAATCTGTGGTGTTAAATCCGGAATTTAATAATTATGTTCATATCAAAACGTAAATAAAGCATTTAATCAACATTATTTTCACAGAATAACAGGATTTTCATTTGTACATAAGTTCCTATATTCTAACTAACTTCGGATGTTTAATGTAACTATTCAATATTTATACCTATGTATAATATTTAGGATCATATTGTGTAGGTCCATCATATTATTCTGATTGTTTATTAATATATTGTCGTTGTTAATAATGTACATGAGTCCTATATGTTATAACGTATTATGCTGTCACTGGGGAGTGGAAGTTCGAAAAGTAAACGAGTAAAGTATGTGTATACTTTATATACGTATTATATTATATTCGTTGACATAATATCTCTGGAAATCGAATAGACGGAAGCGCAAACAAGGGGGTAACACAATAATTCAAAATAAAAAGTTACAAAAAACAAAATAAATATAAACACACACAACAGGGACAACCATACATGAAATTCACTTTGTGCTCATTCGCTGTTTTGGATTAATTATTACATTTTTAATGAGTCTTCCCTCTCACTAAGTGCTCATCCGCGCAACAACGCAATGGTACACAATTTAATATAAATAATAATTTGCATTTGTATTACACATATTATATTATATAGTTATATTATTCACTATACAATAATATTATATGTACATCTAAAAAAGAATACATTGCGTTTTGTGTACATAATATATTTTGTATATCGCACAACTCTCCGCTTAATTCAAAATCACTGTGCATTATAATAATATTATAATATTACATCCACGACGATAATAATAATAATAATCATATAATGAATGTCCTTCAATCAAAAACTACGTATTTCCATGACGTACTCTTTCGAAGTCTTAATAATAATAATAATAATAATAATGGAAAATAAAAAACTCCAAGTCCCCGCAAAGGGGTGGTGGACACACATGCACGTGGGTGCACACGTGACCTGGTGCTACTTCCGCGGTTACTGCGACTGCTACTCCAACGGCTGGGTCCACGTGCCGTTCTTTTATTTTATTTTTTTTCACCACCGCTCCGGCCACTTAAAAAAACACAGTCAATAACGTCCGGTATTGTGCGGTCGATGATTGTCGGCCGAAGAGAGAACGAGGAGTAGTGTAGTATACATATGCATATTTATTGGAATAGGAAGGGGACAATTAAATAATGAAATGCGAATAAAACAACCGCGAGTGGTGTGGGAACATAAAAATCACCTATCCGAATGATTTTCAGTGAAAGCTTAATAAATGCTGTAGTGCAGCAGCGCGATATTCCAACGCTACTAATTGGGAACCGAAGATCGCGTGCTGCTGCGTATTAAAATTAGTAATTTCTTTCTCGTTATTAGGCGCAAAGGACAAGACGCGCAGATATATATATATGTATATACCCGAGGAAAAATAGATTTCTATATAATGTGAAAACGGGGAAGCGCACACGCATATTATAATAGCGTCGTCGTTATTGTTTTCGACCGTCTTATATTATACCACCGTCGAAAGACGAGCGCGACACTAATTGCCGTAATGAACTTCTGTTTAAAAGTCTTATAATGTTACGGTATTCGACGCCCACGCGCCCATTCACTGCCGTCCAAGAATTCCTGTTCGTTATTATTTCCATTCGGTCGTTCGTTTCCGAAAAATCACAATCGGTTTCTTTTTCCCGCATTTTACACATTAAATCCATCGCCTTCGTCGACCGTGTTCAAATCTGGCAACATTTCCGAAAATCCAATGCATACCATCGCATGTCTTCTACAAAATAATATTATGCGCATTCCTTTTCAGATTGGACTATTATATACGTCTTCTAGAAATGCCCTCTTGACCGTCTCTCGTCTAAACTATAGTAAAAATACCTATGAAATCATTGTTTTAAATGACGTGTGTTTAATTTCATTTATAATGTTTTTGAGCCGTATACAGTGGATTTTGATATAATTTTAATTTATTAACATAATAACACGGAAATATTTTTCTACTGTTACGCTCTCCGACTTGTAGTTGTCTCTATAAAACCTTGGATTTGCTGTTTTTTCAACTATTCGATTCTGCTTTATCGGTCGAACATACGTTTTTATTATTATTTTAATGAGTTTACGTGAACCTGCTATGACGAAAAAATAGACGTTTGTATACTACAACGGCGTAAACAGTGTTTAGTTGTTTCGCAATAAATAATATATTTGCATGGGATATTGTTTAAAATATTATTGTATGGTGTTATGAAGGACACCGCCAATTAAATTGTTCATCATAAAAATTAGTTGTATTATATATATTACCTATGTCATTTGATTTTATATTCTTCGTTTTTTTTTTTTAAATTTAGGTTTAACAGAAATGTTTTCAAATACCAATGATCATAAGCAAAATTTGACACAAGATTATCTTATTAACTATTTGCGTTCAAGACTTTTACTTTCAAGGTAATTATTTTCAAGTATTTTGCATGATATAACTCATTGTGTTAATTGACTTGACGACTGGTAACAATTTTATGGATGTATAAAATTAGTTTATTTCATAGCGATGAACATAATATTTGTATTAGGTATACAAAAATATTTTAAGACAATTTCATAATTTGCAGTTAAATTTTATAATTTATTACGAATAATTATAAATATTAAAAAAAATATGAGAGTGTGCTTCAAACAGAAACAAAAATATATTTACAGTAGTCTGTTATATTATAGTCTTAGAATCGTCGTAGAATACTATGTATAGTGGTGCAATAATTATATTATTAAACAACAAATTTAAAAATAGTTATAAAGCATGGCATTCGGCAAATCCTGGATTATATATACAGTATTATTTTTCAAATTAAAGTTGCTTTAAAAAATAATTAATTAGATATCATTTTCAAAATGTATTTACTATGTTTTTGATCATAACAAAATGATTGTATACCTAATTGTGTATATTACAGCTCAAAAATATTTATTTTATCATCAGAAAAAATGCTCATACTTTAATAATTCTGTTGTTTTCATGAAAATATTTAAACTTAAAAGGTATAATTGTATAAAGGATGCGATGTTTGAAATTTATTAGTCAAAAGTAGGAAATAATTTCTTTAGAATAAAAATGTTTTCTTTCATATTAATAAGGTGCACATCTATACCATTTGGTCATATAGGTACCTAATAATACACGTAATACGTACATTGTTTTATCTATGTTTATTTATATATATTACATCTGTGGATGTGTGTCTTTCTGTGAGTAGTGGGAGAAAGACACACAAAAGGGTGTATGGCATGTATGTATTCCAGGGAAAATCGACAATATTTCCTGTTCCTCAGCTACCTGTCCAGTTATAGGGAGGGGGGCAAAGGAAAGGTTATCGGGTATTATATACCGTTGCCGTGCGGTTTATCGCGAGTTCGCGCTTCGTTCGCTCGTTCGTGTATTGTATGTGTATATAATATATATAGTACTTACACGACGACGCCCTGGGCGTTTTGTGTATAGCCCACCCTTCTCCTTGCCGTCACCCATTTCCCCTTAACATCTCCCTACCACCCGGTATTCGGTATATCCCGTTTGCTCTCGGGCAAGGAGAGGATAAGAAAGGAAGGGCACGGGTGGGCGTGTTTCCCATTGCGCGGGTCCACGATTGTAACCCGCCGACTTCACCACCCCTCGCGTCACTATACTTACTTCGACTTTGGCCGTCTCTTCGACTGTATACTCGGGTTTACAAAGGGGGGCACGTGATTTCAAAAGACCCCCCTCGCCCGCTTTTAGAATACGATCGATAAAGCAAGACGTCGTTGTCGTCGTCGTCGTCGTAGTCGTCCTTTTATTTTCGACACCGTTTCATTCTCTCTTGTCCTTCGTCCGTGGCGGCCAGGACGATCGGTTAGTTTGGGTATTGCTTTTTGGATTTGTTTTGGATTCTCCACCGCCGTTGTTGCTGTTCATGTCTTATTCCTTATATTCTCCTTTTGTATATATATATTAAGCACACACACAGAAACACACGCTCACGCGCACGCGCACATACACACACATCTATATATTTATATACTTGTGCACGTGGAAAAGAGCTTTGGTGAGGAGAGAAGTAGGGGGAAATATAAGGAGTGTATATACTGTATATACGGGTGGGTGGTGACGAGGGATATATATAAGGAGAGGCACAGGTCGAACGGTTGTCTGTTTTGGCCGGTAGAGGAGGCTATCAATAACGCCCCGTCCCGAGGGTACGGCCAGCAAAGCGATCGTTATTTCCCCAAAGGCCACATCTTATATATACGTTCATATATATATATATAGACCAAAACCCTTTCTTGACCTACCAACCCAGGTCGATACGCTCGACCAGGCGCTCAATGTTCGTACACCACCTTATACCTAAATAATACTTCACATTCGAAACATTGTATATAAATAAACATCTTCTATCACTGTTGTCTATATATGAGTACCTATAGGTATACGAATTGCAGTTTATACATCAGACTGCAGTTATACGATATTATATTTTATTTCATGCTTAATAATAATAATAATATTATTATAAATTATAATTATATACGGAAACGACAAATTCAGTTTTTCACGCGTTCAGTTTTTTCTTCTTTTATCGCTTTTGATATTTCGGGATGTGGATATTTTAAGTTTCGCATATATAGTCTGTAAAGCACGCAAAACAAACAAACGTCACGGGCCAACCAATTCAGTATGGCAGCTGTACAAAGTAATAACAAGGACCGCCGTTTATATATTGTGAAAGCGACTCATTTAATCATATTTCATAAATAATAATAATAATAATAATAATAACCACATAGCGGTGGAGAGTTATGAAGAAGAACACTGCGCGGGGTAGAGAAAAAATTATAATAATAAATTTGAGCCGCAGTGGACTAGTTTTCTGCCAAACCGTTGCCGTCGCCGGTTTCGCCGCCAAAACCTGGGAAAAATGTATTTATTTTTCCCCAGTTCAATTCTTTTAACTTGTTTATTTTTAATTGGTGCTCGAATCTTACAATTGCTTTTACTGCCCTCCTATATAATGTGGTTGTATCTACTCATGATAGACTAATAGAATAAATAAATTATCACTGAAATCAGATACCACAATTGTTCTATATAGCTTAACAACGAAAACCAGAACTTTAAATTGACCCGCGTACTATTTGCTTGTATTGGGTAACTAGATTTATTTACTAAAAAATCTCTAAACTTTGGTAAGATATAAATATAAAAAAATATTAGTCGACATTATATATTTAATACTAAATATAATTAAATTATTAATCTTTTATCACATTTGAACAATTTTATCGACATATTATACAGGTTTAAATTGTCTATAATGATTTATATATATTTTTTAAACTGTGTCCCTAATTTAACTGATGAATTTGTTAATCTAAAAGTATAAAATATATGATAACACAAAAACTTTAGTCCTAACGTTCACACCCAGTGACGAGAAAAATTGTTTGTCCTTGTTGCGATTGGTACAAAAAAAAATAAGTTTAAAGCTAAAAAAAATATTGTTAAATGTAACAACTAAAACTATTGCCTCAGGTAAACGTCAGTTTGTTTATCAGTTAGTAATATAAGCTAATGTCAAAATTTCACTAAAGGGAAATCGGTTTAATGCCCAAATTCGAATAAAATTCTTATCATATAGATCTTTATTATATTCAGCATTCTCAATGTTATGATTATATTATATGTTGTAGGAAGTTATTATTTTTGAGAACATATTTAACCACATCTATGAAAAATGATCATGATAGACGGTATAATGTATATAAGTTCATACTGAAAATGATAAAAGTAAAAAGAAAACACATCACTTATCGTTATGAAACTACAAACACCTAAAAAACATATATACAGAAGGTTTGGTAAGTACGTTTTTATTTTCCTAACTGGACCTTTTTGCTCGATTGGACACGAGACTTTGACTTATGAGTTTATATATAGGCACCTTCCTCTGATATTTCTCTAATATATCGCAATAATATATATATATCAACGTAATCTATATAATATTATATTGAGTTGTTTATACAATATATTATATTATTATTGGATTGAAATATATTATATATAATAACATAGATCGGTTTTATATACCCATAAATGTCGACGACTGTTGTTAAGTAAACATAACTCGCTATAGGAAAAAAATGCAGTTTACAAATTATTTTAGGTGTTTTTTAACTGTGATGCAACTACCTTATACACCGGTACAATTAAAAAATATATATTTTAGGCAGCAACCATTATATTATTATGATGACGATTAATTGATTTTTTTCAAGATGTTCTTTCTTTTAGAGCTGTATTCTATTGTTCTAATTGTTATTTGTTATAATTTTTCATTTCTTACGTTAATTCGAGTTCTTGTTTTCTTCTTTAATAACAATGACCTACAAATATAGGTACATATTATATAAAATATGAAAATTTTGGCAAAATTTAACACGTAATGCTAAATAAATTGGTATATACAAATACTCCATACACTTATCCAAAAACCTAAAGTCGTGTAATTATTTTTGTTATATATGCTATATTATTATTGTATATATATATATATATATTATATATGAGCTTATTCGGTCGGTTAAAGCCAGGAAAATCGCCAGTGAATGGTTCGTCTCAATAAATAATTCATACAATTTCTTTCTTCAAGTATTTATATGTGTACACGTGCGAGATAAACATCACACGATCTTCATATAGTATAATAATATATAATGGTATGACATGTGTGCGGAATGCGTCGACAAATTTGCTAGCCAACAAATGTATTACCTATATATAATATATTATATATGATTAAATCTTTTGAATAACATACTTTTCTTATCTGTGGGTACTATTTTTTCTGGAATATTTTTTTATTTTGATGGCAATTATGTAATATATTCTATAATGAACATCTTGGCTTTTGTTTATGAACTCAATGACGGTAATCTTAAACAGAGATATTTTGAGGAACAAACACATTTTTTCTAACCAATTACATGACGATGATGTCAATAACATTTTTTTTCATATATATACAAAAGAACTGACTTCATATTTAGTGATTAATCATTATGTTATAATGTTGCTGCGTATGTATTTATCGTATACCTAAAGGTGTACTTTATTATTCAATGAACTATATAACGTAACGGAATCGATTATATCATCTTTTAGTATGATAATGTATATATTAACTGTATAATGATGATTATAATATTTATGTTCCATTCTATTTTGCACATTAGTTTGAAAAATATGAATTATCGGTGGGTTTTGGTATAATTATTGGTTGAAAATTAACGTGGTGATAATAATTAATATGAATTTAACTCTAAAAAGTTATGAAACGATATAATATGTTCACGTGCTGTAATAAAATATAGGAGTTATCTAAAGATCGTTAACGGATGCGGATGACAGA